TTTTTTTTTTTTTTTTTGGTACGGTTTGCCGTTGAAATTTTATATAATTTTCCATAAACCTACCTTCTGCTTTGACATTTCTTAGTTAAACAAAGTTTTATCCTAGTATCACACAGAAAAGTAGTCAACACGCTCCATTCCTACGTCCGAAATCGGGACAACCCAAAGCCCAGATCATTGTCTGATCGCTATCGAGTTTCCCTTTCTCCAATTCCTTTGCAATCTTCAAGAACACAGGAATTCAATTCCTTTCTCCTTGATAATCCCATGTTCCAGTTTGTAGATGTCAGCGAAGAATTCCGAGACAAATGATTAAACCCAAGAAATTCCTTCAGAAGCTTATTAAAATTTTCAAGTTTGGTTCGGGAAAAGGTAAAATGCATGACCCAGATCGTTTTTCCAGCAATTTATTAATGGGTTGTTGTTATCTGGGGTTGTTGTTTACTGGTTCTTGGGTTTCAGGGAGAAAGAATGAAGAGGACTTGCAGAAAATAGCTGAACAGGAACAAAAGCACTTTCCTTTTGAGATTTTGGTTGCTGCAACCAAGAATTTCCACGCTACTCACAAGCTTGGTCAAGGAGGTTTTGGACCGGTGTTCAGGGTGAGATCTTAGTATTGAACCTCTGTTTGGTTGCCAAGAAAGTTGAGGGAAAAGTTTAGTGTGAAAGTCTTACATTTGTCTCTAGATTGGTATTGATTTTTTTATTTTTTAGCGCTGTGATTAATATGCTACAATGGATAGACATGGGTATATTTCTTCATCCTATTCTAAATTTTCTCTTTCACGGGTATTCATGGTTAGAGCTTTGCATAAGAAATGGAGGATAAAAAGTTGGGAAATTTTATTAATATAGAAGTTTCTGATGGATTCTGAACAAGGCACATTTTCTCAAAATGAAGCCCATTCGGACTATTGCCTTTGAGAAAGTGTCAGCAAAATAACCTTACAATGCTTGGGCTCTATCAATCATCCTTCTGATTTCTTTTAATTTTCATCTTTCCTTGTTCTATTGAATTCCTGTTACATTTTCAGTTGTAGGAACTTTCAGGAATCTTATTATCGTTTGTTCTTCTTAGGCTTTCCAATAAGCATAGTGTCTTTTATTTCCTAGAAACCTTACATGATAACTAGGAGTTTTTCTAACTCAATAGTTTTTTCCTTAATTCATAGGGGAGGTTGAGTGATGGGAGAGAAATTGCTGTTAAGAAGCTATCTCAGACCTCAAATCAGGGGAAAAAAGAGTTCCAGAATGAGGCTAAGTTGCTAGCACGTGTGCAACACCGAAATGTTGTCAATTTATTGGGGTATTGTGTGCACGGCACCGAGAAGCTATTGGTTTATGAGTATGTTTCTAATGAGAGTCTTGACAAGCTCCTCTTCAGTAAGTACTGCTTATTCTTTTGTGCTTTTCTTTTATTCTTTTATCATTTGCATATGCTTTGTAGATTTTGGTTTGGAAAAAGAACCAAGCACATTTTAGTTATGGGACCAAGCACATCTTAGTTATGGGAATAATATTTTGTAATTTGGATTTCTATTTATGTGACATCAATGGTTCTTGTTGTCTTTTCCTTATTTGAACCCCTAAACTGCATTGGATAAAGGATATAAGGTTTTAAATTCTGATGGCCAGCTGGACAACCATCCTCTCTTTGTTGTGTAGCCTGGCCATAGCATCAAAAAGCTTTCTATTTTTTCGTGCTTGTATCCTTTCTACTAAGTATAGCCACAGAGCTATATATTGTTTATATGCAAAGAAGTCCATGAGTCCTTAATGTTAAGGACACCACATGAAAGAATCTTAAGGAAGAGTTTGTTGAACCACAACCACATGATATTTTCTCTAAATGCTCAGAAGATGTTCCCCCATGAAAAAAGTATGTGTGTTACTGTGGCCAATTGAAATGATTCTGTCTTTGTATGAAGGTAAAGATTAGCCATTCAATTTTTGCTGTCAGTATTTAAGAACCTAAATAGCATTTTCTTTCAAGAACTTTAAGAGAACATTTACTTTTAAACAAATATATTGTTTGGGATAGAGGGCCAGCAAATCAGCTTTATCATAGTGATTGTGACTGTGGGCAAGCTTATCTCTCTTGTTCATATATAAGTCAATACATGCATAAGAACATCCATTTCTGATGTCTTAAAGGAAAAGAAATACAGTTCAAGTTTGTGTGTCTTGAAAACTCTGATTCTTCATTCAAATGACCTTATATGAAGAAATATTCCTATTTTGTTTGTGAGAGAAAGATTCTTGGTTTATAACTGAAATTTCAGTTTATGTTGCATATTTTTAGCTTCTTGGCTGCTATGGGGCTAATGCCATAACTTTAACTGTTATATTCTATTCCACTCATAAGGAACTATACAAACCTCATTTTAAATAAGATGATGCATAATCATTTTAACGTTCATAATCTTTATTATTGAGTGAAAAAGCAATTTGATATTGAATGATAACTCTATAAGACTCATTTTGTTGAAGCTTAACGGATATTTTTTTCCTTGAAACTGCTTACTCATCAATGGATTATTGACACCATTTGATAATTGATAATCAGAATAACGTCTATTCTATGTATTCTATAAAGATAACAAGAATGAATGGTAAAGCCAGCTTCTAATGGTTCAGTATTGTTTATACAAAACAAAACAGGTCTGTATGAAATTGATGGTTGAGTTGTTTAGGTGCTTTTTTTATTTTTTTATTTATACCTTTAATTTTGTTCAGTTTATTTCTTTTATGTCCATTTTGTGTCTCTAGCCTCAGAATATAAATTTTGGTATCAGAGAGGTTTGAGATCTCAAAGAATTTTTGGATAAATGACATTTCAAAATCAACTAGAAGATTTCATTCTCCTTTAACATCTAAATGTTGGGTTCTGTGATTTTGCCTAGGACTAGAACCTTGTGACAGTGACTGGTTGTGAGACTTAACTTTGGGGTGTGAATTTGAATTGTATGCCCAATGCAACAGAATACTAGCCAATTCTGGTATAAACTTGTCAGCTCATGGTGGAATTGCTCCACCAGTAATCAATCTCATATCTCAAACAACTAAGTTGATTTTAACATACACAAACAATGTTAATAGTTATTTCTTTCACGGCTTTAACTAAAATAGATCAAATTCTTTTGTAGTCATAGTAATTCTGAATGTACAGTCTTTGTGTAGAATCCAATAGAAGACAAGAGCTTGACTGGAAGAGAAGGTTCGACATAATTTGTGGCATTGCTCGGGGATTGCTTTACCTTCACGAAGACTCACATAATTGCATCATCCACAGGGATATCAAGGCCAGCAACATTTTACTTGATGAAAAGTGGGTCCCTAAAATTGCTGATTTTGGCATGGCCCGCCTCTTCCCCGAGGATCAGACGCATGTCAACACCCGGGTAGCTGGTACCAGGTATCTTCTTTGACATAGTTTAAATTCATGTGGTCTTTCTGTAATCCAGTTCCTCCTCACATTGTATCAAAGGTGATAACTTCTTTTTAACTTGTTTATACAGTGGCTATATGGCACCAGAGTATGTCATGAATGGTCAGTTATCTGTGAAGGCAGACGTTTTCAGCTTTGGGGTTTTGGTTCTGGAGCTGATTAGTGGCCAGAGAAACTCGACCTTCAGTTCGCATTCTGAATCACAAAGTCTACTGGAGTGGGTAAGAACCAGAAGATGTTCTTGGTCACTGTTTGCTATGCTACTATTTGTTGCTATAAAATCTTATGAGCTTAACTGAAATTTTTATTCCATTTTTATCACTGCTTAAAAAGATGAAGGTTAGCAAGAAACACTAGATTAGGCTTGAAAATGTTAGTAACTTTGCATATCTTTTGTGCTTTTTGCTTGCAGGTATATAAGCTCTACAAAAAAGGAAGGAGCTTGGATATGATGGACTCTGCTATAGTAGCATCAGCAGTCCCGGAGCAAGTAGCTATGTGCATCCAAATAGGATTGCTGTGCACGCAAGGCGATCCCCAATTACGACCCACAATGCGACGTGTAGTTGTGCTGCTATCAAAGAAACCTGGGAATTTAGAAGAGCCAACCAGGCCTGGGGTTCCAGGCTCGCGATATAGAAGATCCCGCAGACCTCCTGCATTGTCATCCACTGCAGGATCTTCTGGTGAAACTGATTCTAGAACGTTTGATCCAAGCCTTCATACTAGTACAGCTTCTGCATCTACATCAACTGTTGTCAGCCCAAGATCGGATCCTTATGGTAAGCGGCCGATGCTGGGTTAGATTTTTGGCTAATTCTTTGTGTATAGTATAGATATAGATGAGGTGACGTTTAATTTATTAATTAGCATGTGAAAAAACAAAAATTAATTAGGGAATGCAGCGGTGTAGAGGAAAGAAATGTGTTAGTGTTCTTCAAGAGTGAAATACAGTGAGCATTCATGATATAGAGGTTTTTTTTCAAAGGAAAATTTGGATTCCTTGATTATCTTTATAGAGAAATTGTATTTTTTTTTTTTTAATCTAAGTGTTTCTTTCACTTCTACTTTTACTTTTAGACTTTTAGTAACCATGAATCTAATTGGATTTCCAATCATCAACGATGGTATGTTACTACTATTGTTTTCTTTTAGTATAAAATAATCGGAGGAAGGGAATTCAATTCTGCCATCAAGAGTGAAAAGCATGCACCATTGCCATTATAAATAGAATTATTTTTATTCTATACCTATTGGTGGCTTAATAGAGCAATTAGAATTCGAAAAATCGTTTTTTTTTTCTTTCTTTTTGGTACATAAAAATTTAGAGTAAGGGAAAGCTCTTTTAATTCAAAGTTAAGACATAATTGTATATTTTAATGATGATTTATAATAAAATTTAAAAGACTATTTACAAGAGAATACTTGCAAAAAGATTTTAATATAAAAAGTGATTAAGTAATAATTGTCTTAAATTTAAATTATAAGCATGTAATTGAGTTGTATTAAAAATTTTAAAAAAAATCTATTATATAACCCAAATTATTTTTAAAAAAATTCTTACCCTTGAAGCACAACTCTTTCTTACCCAACCACCATGGACGAAAAATCTAATTGTTCTTTAAAATAAAGCGGTTGACATCTTGGCTAAAGCCAAAACGTAGTGCATCCTTCCCCATCCCCATCAAACATTTCCCACATATTACGTACGGTGAATCAGGTTTGAATTTGGAGAGGGGGCAAGATGTTGGGGTACGGTGCATCGGGGTCCCGTACAATCATGTCAATTACTACCATTTACTGACTCTTCTCAACTCCCACGACAACCTCTCGCACTAGCTGCTTTGTTGAGCTAGTAACATAAGTCAAATATTTTAATTTATATTATAATTTAAATTTTTATTAAAATAATTTTAATATTTTTGTGTGACATTTATCTCACCTCGATTATGCGTGCATGACAGTGATATATACAAAATTTCATATAATTTTAAATTAATTGATTTTAAAATTACGATGTATTATATTTTTATATTATATATATATTTTTTGTATGAACTATTCAATATTCGGAAGTTTATTAGATTATTAACTAATCCAGATTTGAGTCAGACAAATTCAATGAGTGGCAAAACTCTTCCTCAAAAGTTTTAACAAAATTATATTTTCAAGTCTTAAAATTAAAATTTTTGGTTAAATTGAAAGAGTTTATTGAACTCATTCATCTGTTTGTGAGTTTTATATTTTATATTGTTAAAAAAATTTAAATACAAGAAAAAAGAATAATTAAGATGTCTTTATATTAAAATTATCAAAAATTTTATTAATAAATTATTATATTTCTATTTTATTAGATAAAAATTAAATATAATAAAATAAACAAAGAGAGTATAAAAATAACAAAAAAAAAATATAGTGCAACTGAAATTATATTAGAACTACATTATACTAACTATTGGATGTGGGTGAACTTATTGATATTAAAACTCTACTTGC